GTTTGTAAGAGTTTTTTTTTTTTTTTTTTTTTTTGTGGTTGTAATTATTTTTAAGTTATATAGTGGTTATTTATAGATGTTTAAAGTAGTTGCGGTTCGGCTTGGTTTATTCACTTACGGTTAATTCGATTTCGGATTTTGAAAATTTATAACCAAACGATTATTTAATTTTATCGGTTCAATTTGGTTCGGTCAGGTTATGTCTAATTAAAATTGTAATCAAATTATAACCAAATAAAAATTCGATTCAGTTAAGTTCGGTTTCGGTTATAATAGTGGATGAAACAAATTTTGAAACATTATTGAAAAAAATCTTAAAAATAATATACCAGAATTAAAACAATCTCATCATGCTAATTTCTCTATGGATATAACATATATTACATATTTGTCAGTATATATGGATGGACAAACGATTGTATTCGGTTACAATTTATTCGGGTTCAATTTATTCGATCTACGGTTAATTCGGGTTCGGCTATTCCGAATTTCAAAAATTTATAGTCAAATGATTATTTAATTTTAATCGCTCTCATTCTTATTACTTTTTTAATATAAAAAAATGAAAAATGAAAAGGTTGTCTTATCTAAAACCCCAATTATGAAATCCCTTCTATCCCACTTCATTTAAGTATAAATCGGTCGGATTCGATTTGGTTTTCAAATAATTGAACCATTTGTCCACCCCTAATAGTTTATGTCGGTTTATAAACGGTTACTATATACTTCTATATATTGTAAAGTTGTATACTATGTTTGTTAGACAAGAATGCAAAAAAAAAAAGGATTTGTATGTGTTTTTTATTTGAAATTTTCAGATTAAAATGCATTTTTTGTTTTGATTCTTGTCTCAGGTTTTTCGATTGAGGTTTTCCGATTTCGATTGTTCAAAGAATTGGGTTTGACTCTTTATTCGCTTATCTATAGTTCATCCATCAATTATGATTGATTTATCTCCAACGCATGTATCGCAGGTTCATGCGCATAAACGAAAGTATACTCAACCAACGCATCCGAAGGATTCCCTCGATATAAAAAAAAACTATTACTAAATTATATAAAGTGTTGTTTGAGAATGTAGTCTAAAGGGAATCATATTTGAAAATAGAATTTTTGTATGCCTCCAATCATGCAGTTTATATAAAATGAAAACTAAAGGTGATGATCGAATGATTGAAGGGGTTGGCTTGACAAAAATCCGATAAAACAAAATTGAACATTCCCTGCCAAGGAAGGATTTGTCTTGATCTCATTTCCAAGCTTTTCTACCTCTGAACTGTTTGCCGCTGCGGCTCTGTTTCCGCTGCTTCTCTTGCTTCGACTTCGACACCTTCGACCTCTTTGCCGCGAGAGGCATGTTCTTCTTGTGCTCCTTCTGCCTATTGCTCATTCCTCCCGTCTGCATTTTCCAAACCGGTTACGTTTCGTTCTCCATTACATATACTAATGCGTGTTTTGAACTGCCTATGCCGTCCCATTTCATCGGATAATTTAAAAAAAAAAAAACTAAAGGGAAAAAAGAGGTACCTTTTTCTGTTTGATTGCAGCCCGGGCTTGGTATTTCCCCCGGTCCTCTCTACCCGCCTTTATTAGCTCTAATCGTTGCTCTTTCGTTAGTTTATGCTTTATGTGAGCCTGTGAGAAGTACGAAAGCAGAAGACTAACAGTTAGGATCACCTTCCCATGGGAATAAATGTGCCAAACACTCCGATGACTAGATAAGTTTGTAACTTACTTCAAGCTTTGCTGGATCAACCCTTTTCGAACTTAGTTGTTCAGAATTTGGAATCTTGAATCCTTGCCGAGCTAATGCAAGTTTCGCATCCTTTTTCGCCTGTGTAACAAAAAAGACATGCCGATTGTGAAATGAACAATTTAACGACACGGAAAGAGGAAAATATAATCCATCCAAAGAAATTTGACCTCAAGGTCAGGGGCATATATACCTTTAATTCCTTGATTCTTTGGAAATCCTCATTCGAAAGGATTCCATCAGTTTCATCAGAAGGATGCTCCTTCTTTGCTTCTGCCAATCTCTTTAAAGCTCGTAGGCTAGTCTCAGCAGAAAGAAGATTGTCATCAAAATCTGGTGCCTTCCTTTTTTTCTCGTTGGATTTCTCTTTCTTCTCACTATCCTTTTCCAAGGGACCAATAGCTTCTTCACCATCTTCTTCTTCTCCCTCCGTTCCCTCATCATCTGAATCCAACTCAGCTTCATCCTCGTTGTCCATCTCCTCCTCATCCTCATCATCCATAGATATACCAGTTTCACTATCACAACCAATACTGTTTCTGTCATCAACATCGTCATCGTCTGACTCTTGTCCATCATCATCATCCTCACTTTCGCTATCATCAGCGTCTTGCTCGTCCCACACATCACCACCACTGCCGGCAGTTAATTCCAAATCATCATCATCAGCACCACTCAAATGCTCTTCAACGTCAGAATCGTCATCACCCTCTCCACCATTGCTTTCTTGCAATAATTCAACACCGGGAATATTGCTTAGGACATCAACTTCTCCGTACTCTTTAGGTCTCGCCTTGGGGTCCACTAGACGACCACGGTCTTTTTTAACAAGAAGTGAAGGGCAAACCTAAATTTACAGAACAAACTTTTGAGAGACCAAATACATAGATTATTGGCCAATCAATCACAGGATAGAATGATTTTTTTCAGGTACCTCTCTAAACAATACTATGAGCGAACGAGCTGCTGCTGAGACAGCTTTTTCATGAGACTTTTTATACAGAGCAAGATCTTGTAACAAATCTTCTGTCATCAACTGAAGCACAAAAAAATGGAGAGATAAATTTAACTGAATAAAAAAAAATTAGCTAAAAATGTTGTTATGACTGTATTAAGCTCAGAAGGGAAAACAAATAATAGGTTACCAGCGGCATCCGCAAGCATATTTCACGTATAACGTTGAGCCCAACAGCAATTGCCTGGTTAAAGCAAAAGTGTAAGACAAGACTGAAGAACAAACATAACTTTTCTAGACTAGTCATGTACAAATTGACATGTTAAGCTTTCGAATAGTACCTCCGGACGTGAACGGTCATGTACAAATTGATTCACGATTTGTTTGAACAGTGGCTCAACTGCATCCGGAGGGACCTGCTCATGATTCCATAATTAGAGGGTCTGAAGAACAAGAGTACCAGTATTGCACTATGCCAGCATAGGGAATGAGCAACTGTTTCCATACCATATCATGACAGGACTGAACTGCAGCCGCAAGTATATTTGTTATATCACGTTGATGTGGCTGCAATAAGATCCCAATATCAATAAAGTTTCAATTTGAAAAACAATTTTATGGAGGGGAAAAATCCAACTACACCATACCTGAGAATATTTTTGAATAAAAGGATAAAAATTCAGTAAAATAAGGCGGTGAAGCCCAACTGTCCGAGCTATAACTTTAAACATCATCATCTTAATCTGCAAGTTATTCAACAGAGAAAATTAAGAAAATCTAGCGAGATGGCCAATCTAATCAAGTAAAAAGCACACAAGTCTTTCAATGAGAATATTTGGAAATAAATGCGCAAGTATCTCATCTTAGGAAACCAATCAACCTGATTTCAAGTTATGCGAGTGACTGCAGTACCTTTGTATATTGGATCAACTTTCTATATAATACATAGATGACACATTAAAAGTGTCCGAAGTAGACCTTCTAAACAGCACACTTTTCTCTACAGTATCTTCTGATAGATACCCTGTAGTTTAAATTCTAACTGTCACAGAAATTTTAAGCCACATCATAAGCTTATGCTAAAATATTCTCTGAACACATGATTGAACGAAGTTTCTCCAATCCCAGATTCACTTCATGTCTTCATCAATCGTCATGCAAACAATAATTTACATCCAGCAAAACTCTTAGTGAGGATAAGAGTGGCAAAAATTGCTAAACACAGCTAGAGAGATTTCATCATCACAAGAAACAGACTAATAATTAAAACATGGATAATAACTACCTCAAAACGTTCATTGCAAGTCTGGAGACGGGAGAACAACTTCTCAGCATAGCCCTGTAAAACATTTGAAGTATAAAATTAATCCCGTTGATTATGATTAGCTTGATTAATATGGTATACCAAAGAATCTAACAGATAAACCTGAGCATCTTTGAGATGGTTAAGAGGTGAATAATAAGTTGAATTGTTGTTTTCAGTCGATGTGCGTTGCTGTCTTTTCATGCTTCGAATTGCTCGTTGCAGTTTCGCTTGCTTTTTTTTCTTGCTGGAAGTTGTGCCTTTATGATGTGCCTGAGCATCAAAATGGGATAAAAGCTATCTAAACCAGCCTAAAAGTTGAACTATCAATGTTCCAGATGATTATATAACGAACATCCAGTTTCATAGTCATTCTTATTGAACAAAAATGGTAGAGAGATAAGACAAACAAGAGAATTTCCAGTAACAACTCACAATTTTCTAATTCACCCTCTACTCTAGTAAGATATATGCTATGATTCAGTGGTATTACAGTGTGCTATTTACCTTGTAAACCGACTCTTTATTAATCACAACTTGAGAAGTTTTCTGTGTCTCCTCATCATCACTGCTCGAAGCATCGCTGTCATTGTCATCCTCGATACTCTCATAGTCAAGAAGAAACCGTAGGGCTGAAATCATGATTCTAAAGGTATACGATAAGTTAGTATTGTGAAGAGAACACAGCATATTAAGCATACTTCAAAGGTAACCAGAACTACCTTGATGAGGAATGAAAACATGCCATACAAATTGCGTTTGCAGCTCTCTCATCAAACCAAACCTTTCTCCTGTGAAGCTCACATAGGGTAACAAGAGCTCTCTTGGCTTTTGCTTCATCGTCTTGCTACAGAAATCATGCAACACTAACTATTAGCTGGAACACTAGAATCATAAGAAATGGGCAAGATATATGAGAAGTTAAATGCACCTGTAACATAGAGAACACAACATTTTGTAGCACCCGGTTCTTAGCTTCATTCCTGTGCTTCTGATTCATCTTACGAACGCTTTGAACAACATGAGAAAATGCAAGCTTTCGCAGGTTTCTGTCACCAAGAGTCTGAATTTCCAGAAATAGTGACAGCATTTCTTCTAAGCCAATAATCTATCATACCAACAAAGAGACAAATCATATTTAGCACAGACCAACGCTTTGACCTGCCTTCTAAAATCATAAAACTCATCAAAGAAAAGCACCAAATTGGTGGCTACTTCAGCCCCAAAAAGTTCTGTTGTAAATGGCCAAAATGAAAAATCAATCTAGGTTGCAGTTCCTGCGATGTTTCGTAACAATCACATGTATGGAACGACAACAGGATTCTACATATAATGACTTCCATTTTCTCATCCCTTCCAGCAACCTACAATCATTTTTCTGTTTGGATCGTTTAGCTCCGGTGGGGCACCAATACGTTTGGATCGTTTAGCTCCGGTGGGGCACCAATACAATGGAAACAACACATAAAACTTCGTGTATGTGGATCCAAATCACAGGGGTATTATTTTTTATTATGGAGAAACCAAAGAAGCTATACTAACAAGGATTTTCTCTGACCTGAATATAAGATATCTAACAATGATGTCTACAAGTGCGAATTCATGTCTCTCCGAATCAACTCGAGCCACAGTTCCCATACCAAAACTACTGCCTCAAACTCATTGTATGACCCAATTCAACATGATATGAACATGCTAATAGTGAAAAACCCCAACATTTCAAAGACCCTAGAATCTCGTCGTCACACTTATATGTGAAACCATACCTTCCTGTTCATCAGAAGAACCAGAGCTTGCGCAACACTGTGTCGGAGTCCCGACGGCATATTCCGACAGGAGCTACGGAGTAAATCACTCAATTGACGCGGGAAATCGGCGAGCTGCTTCAGGTAAAAAGGTGTAACATGAGCCAGGAACATGGCTCGGTCGCCGAGGTCCTTAGCAACGGACGGGTCTGCGCCGACGCCCCCTCCGACGGAGGAGAAATTAAGCGCGGATTGCTGCTCGAAGAGATCGACGGAGGCGTTGAATTGCTTGTATAGAAGGTGAAGCTCCGACTCGTAGCCGTCAGGGTCGCATTTCATCTTAGATTGAAGAGCAGGGAGACTGAGCTTTTCCGAGCTCCGGCCAGACGCCGCCAGTGACTCCTGCGTAAGACCTCGAGTTCCGGCCATGACTCCTGAGTCTCGAACTGCAGAAGCAAAACCCTAATAAATCTTTGTGCGTGTATATATTATATAACAATTTAGAAGACGGATGCGGCATATTATATTAATTTTTTATTTTTAATATTTGAGGTAACGAGAGAGATTACTGTGCTAGATATTGCAATTAAATAAAAATATTTAACACAAATAAATAATTAAAAAAATTAAAAAATATATTTAAATATTAACAAATAAAATAAATTTCCGACAAAAAACCATTAATTATCTCACTTATAAAAAATAAAAAAGATTTCACATTCATTACAATAAATAATCAACTATACCTTTGAAATAATTATATAAATTGTTTAAAAATAATATTTCACTTTAAATTTGTTATAAAAAACCATCAAATATTAATTTTAATAAAAAAATCATCAAATATCTAAATTATTTAAAAAATATATAAATTATACGAATATAAAAATCACAAAAAAACATAATATTTATTTAAATTTATTATATGATAATATTTAGAATTTATAAAAAAATTTATAAACATCATACTTGATATAATAAATTTATAATTTATATACTAAATTTGTATAAAATATTATATTTGTTTATTTTTATTGATTATAATTTTATAAATATATAAATATATATATATGTATATATATATATATATATTGATTTAGTTTATAATTATGTCCCTCGCGTGCATTTCGATAAGATCATTAACAAATTAACAATAACATCATCTAAGATGAAATTTTAAAACTGATTTGATTTCTTTTGCTCTATAATTTCATATATTTTTATTATCGACAAAAAATATTCTGTAGTCTAAATTATAATATTTAGATATATCATGTATATCATGACCGATATTAGAATCGTTTATGAAATTGTATATCCAAATATTACGGCGTTAAAACCATTTTTTCAGTGCGTGTAAGAAAATCTTTCATTGATATGGTCTTCCTTTACTTTCTTTTTAGAGTGAAATTACAGTGAATTACGAAGAGCTTCAATAAGGGATTAAATATTAATTTGTTTCATGTTTGGTTTGGTTTTATTTATTTTATTGTCATATTAATTAAGGAGTATGAATTCTATTGAGAAAAAACTATGTTATATATTTAAAGAATTCTTTATGTCAGCATGGGACGTAGTGGATGAAGATCTAGTGGTTGCGGTTCAAAAAATTTTCCACACGGGACAGATTCTTGGGCAGCTTAACGCAACGACCATCACATTTGTCTCTAAAAAGGCCAAAACCATAGCGCTCACGGATTTTAGGCCCATAAGTTGTTGCAATGTGGTATATCCAACATTCTATCCAAGAGAATTCAGCTATTGATGCCACGTTTGATTTCACGAAACCAAGCAGGTTTTACACGAGGTCGGTTAATGCTTGACAATGTCATGTTGACCACCGAGATAATCGCGTTGCTACTCTCGTAGATCGTCTGGAAAGAGAGCGGCAATTAAAGTGGACATTCGGAAGACATTTGATACAGTAAGTTGGGAGTTTATAATCAGAATACTCCAAGCTATTGATCTGCTAGTCGCATTCTTTCGTTGGATCTGAGCTTGCATTACAATCCCCCACTTCTCGGTTGCAATTAACGGGGAACTTGCGGGTTACTTTAAAAGTGAAAAAGGGCTGAGGCAAGGGGATCCCCTATCCCTCTACATCTTCATCTTAGCCATGGATATTCTATCTCGTATGCTTGACAAGGCTACTGCAATGGGACGTCTAAAACTTCATCACAAATGCTTGGGACCAAAGATTACGCATCTTGCTTTTGCGAACGACATACTTGTCTTCTCGAAAACAGATCCAGACTCTCTGCGGGAGGTAAAACGCCTACTAGAAGAGTTCGGTAATATGTTTGGATTGCATGTCAACAACGACAAATCTGAGGTATTTTTCAGCGGAACCGTTGATGCTGAAGCTTCGGTTATGGCTGCCATCCTAGGACACATAATTGGGAATCTACCTAGGGGTGCCGCTCAGTCATCGGAAGCCTTGCAAGGCAGATTATTATCTTCTCGTGGAGAGGATAAAAGCAATGCTTACATCCTAGACAAATCATTTCTTATCTCGGACGGGTAAACTATTACTAATCCGTTCGGTTATCTACGGACAGGTACTGTATTTCTGCTATCCAAATGCATCATAAAGGAGATTAATGGGTTATGCACATCCTTTCTATGGGGCCGTAAAGGAGGGGAGATTGGGAGAACCGCCCCGCGAGTTGCATGGAACCAAGTATGTCGTCTAATGTCAGAGGGTGGGCTTGGTCTAAGGAAACTCCTTGACATCAATATGGTGCAAAGGCTGAAACTCAGCTGGCATGTGCTGACTAAGACAGATTCGCTTTGGGCAGATTGGCTGCGGAAAAATGTTTGGAAGCAAAAAGGGTATTGGGAAGTGGTTATTTCCTCTCGGCACTCCTGGAACCTTCGCAAACTAATGGTATTGCGGGATACGATTAAGAAATTTATGCGGTATGAAATTGGTGATGGAAGAACGACTTCGTTTTGGCATGACTGTTGGTTGGCCCCCTTGCCATTCATTGGTATTGTAGGTCATTCAGGGCCAAGTTTGTTGCAGATCCCGCGATGCAGCAAGGTTCGGATTGCTGTCTATGAGGGCAATTAGACAGTGGGCGTAGCAAGATCACATGGCCTACAAGAAATCCTCACGACTCTAACTACTGCTCCGGTCTCGAATGATGAGAAAGGGTTGGACATGCCACTTTGCAAGCACAAGGAAGGAGTGCATAAGGGTTGGTTCTCCAACTCAAGCACATGGAGGATACTTCGGCAGCGACATTCGGAGGTACCACATGGCATAGGATGATATGGTTTAAGCATCATGTTTAGAGATTTGCTTTCTTTTTGTGAGAGATTATGTTGTTGAGGTTGTCGACTAAGGATAGACTTGCACGTTGGGGAATCCAAGTTGATCCAGTCTGTGTGCTTTGCCAAAGATGTTTTGAAACGCACCATCATCTATTTTCTGAGTGTGAGTTTAGCTCATGGATTTGGTTGACAGCTTGATATGGCCTTCCCCGCCGTTGAATGTATTCTAATGCAGGGAGTGGATGTAGAACCGGACAAATGACATGAGTCGCAACAAGATCCTCTTAGGCCGTTTGGTACTACAGATTACAGTCTACAAAATCTGGAAGGAACGTAATGCTAGAATTTTCAGGTCTGAGCAAACGTCGATCGATGTGATCCAAACTTGAATTGACAGGGTCTTGCGCAACATTCTGATTTCCGTCACGAAAACGCCTAACGGGAGCAACCATTCCTTACTAGAAGATTGGTTTTTCTTGTCGGAAAACATCCGAACGCACTCAGTCTAGAACCACGCACATCACATTTCATTTTGCTGATTTTTTTATGGTATCCTATCTTGTACAGTTTTATGCTGGGTTGTTTTTCGTTTTCCTTTCGGTTACGAACTTTTATTTAATATATAAATTCACCTTTTACCAAAAAAAAAACTTATTCGATTACCAATATCAAACATCAAAATGTAAGATTATCAATAATACACAAGTGTGAGAGTATGGTTATATGCGGGTTTGAAATTGTATTATCACGAGTGAAGGTGGTTGAAGACGAGAGTGATGATAACGACAATGATGATATCTCGTATTCGACGACGATTTTTTAAAAAAAAATATAAAAAGTCGATCGTTTGATTTTTTTAAATCCCTATACTGATTGAAACTCTATACGAAGGCGGAAATTCTTCTCGACAATAACGGATTGGCATTCATAATTTTTTTTAAAAAAAAAATTGCTTCCAACCCATACAAGTGAGATATTGAAAATATAGAATCTATTACGAGTTTGGAACAACGCCGGTAATTCAACAAAAAGGTGGTTTCAGCGCTGCATAATAGGGACATTGGAAATTTGAGGGATCCCTTTGGCAAACTGTGGGGGTTTTGGAGGAATTAGTTTTAACTTGAGGGGTCTCCACGAAATACTCTTAAACTCTGGGGGTTTAAGAGGAATAATCTTTAACCTGAGGGGTCTCTTCGGCATATTCGTCGACATGGCCGGAGTTGATCTGATCTTCACAATTTGTGGCTTCCTCTCTGCATCAGCGGCTTCTTCCTTCTGCGTCTTATGGTGAGGATCGTTCTCGTCTGCCGACATGAATGGATGAGCTAACAACAATGAAGCACTTCGGGGGAAACCCTCAGGTGAGTTGGCAAGGAGCATATCCCCATACCGAGAGGTTGGGGGTTTGACTCCAGCCGCTCACCTATCGTCTGTCAATTACGGTTGATTCACCACTCATACGTGTATTGCACGCTCGTGCGTATGGACTTGGGTTATTCGTTTGTGTGCGCCCGAAGGGCCACCGCTGCGACCCCTGTGTTAGCGAGCCCGAAGGGCCACCGCTGCGACGGGGGTTAGTGAGTCCGAAGGGCTGCAGCTGGGGCCAGCTTCCCAATGTATAAAAAAACGATGAAGCACTTCCTCTGTCTCCGGGGTTTTTCGCGAAACATGTCTCCCCAAAATTCCTCGTATCCGGAGGAACATAGTCTGGAATTTCTGGCGCCAAACCATCCAACAGAACATGCATGATCTCGTCCACGTTGTCGTATGGCCATGGCAGATCTCATGTATACATCTCCAGCACAATGCAACCAATAACCATAAATCTAGGGCTTCCTTGATTTTGCCCTCGGAGACTGATTCCGGCGACATGTACTGCGGTGTTGCCCAAAACACTGAATCCACTAGCCACCAACCTCCTTCTTCTCCAATCGCTCTTGACAAACCGAAATCCGAAATCTTGAGTTCATACCACGATCTCCGTACACCGTCCTTAAACGTGTGATGCGGATAAAGAAGTATATTCTCCTGTTTTAGATCGGGTCGCAGTGAATGTAACCGTGGCCATGAAACGAAAACATTAACCCTTCTAGATTCATCCACGCGAAACTTCTGACCGTCCGATCTGAAAACATTCCGTCAGTTTGTTTTATAGGAAGATATTATTCTTAGAATATTATCATTAATATTGTTATGATTTACTCTAGATATTATGCCTAGAATATTCTATTGTATTTTGCCCATGAGTGGGGCCTGAGACTGCCTCCGGGTGCGTATTCCAAGAACATTCTATATTCTCGGCGTCCGCCGTTGTCACTTGTGAAAGCCTCTTGCAAAGTGTTGTGGAAGCATTGGACGATCCAAGGACAGCCCCTGAGTTTCGATAGAATCTGAATCTCTACATTAAGGGACTTGTAGCTGTTCGGATCCAACGTCTTCATGGCCGTATACTTTGAGGTATCGTCCGGTTGCATGCACTTCATTGGACAAACACTACCGAAGGAACCCTCACCAAGAAACTTCACGAACTCCATCTCCCTCGAAGACATCATGGTGGAGAGTTTATGAACTATAGGTTATCGTAAGAATGTATTGCACGATGACTAAAGGTCAAGATCAAAGAAGAGACTTGAGATGGGGGTTCGAAAGAATTAATGGATTTTTGGGCTTGTGGAAGGAACGAAGAGCACACCGACTGATGGAAACAATTGATTCTACGAAAAAATTAGAGACTGACCAAGTCAAATGGACCAATTTATCCTTGCTTTCATCTCTTTATTTCGGTACTACCCTCTTGATGTTTCGTGTTGCTCACGTTAACACGAGTTTAATTCGCAATTTATGCGATTGATTGGCATTTTAGAGAGAAAGGAACATTACAAAAACAAGATACTACAAAGATATCACATGTCTCCTAGTAGAGACATGGATGTCACTTTTGGCAAGTTTAGTTTTATGGATCGTTGCAGTATGAAAACTGCGGAGAAGAAAAAAAAATCCAAAAAGTTGTAATCTAATTCCTCTATTTTTTTACAATATTGAAATTTATCCTAAACCTTTTATTTAATTGATCAATTGAACCCCGATTATCCCCTAAAAGAAACTCATTTGTTATATTTACTTCATTTTTTGGTTCGTCCGTTCTACGTTCTTTTCCGCTTCGGTCTGGTCCTTCGTTTCTGGTCCGGTCCGGACTTATTACAGTCCGTGTGGACTGACTTCGAAAACTAGGTTTTGCGTAGATCTTTCGTCCGTCCCAGTCCGGCACGGAGTCCGGTTTGGACTGACTCCCGTCCCGTCCGGACTGACATTCAGTTACGTGTTTCATCTGATTTTTTCGGTCCAGTTTGTGGTCCGATTCCGACTGGATCTCTTGCTTTATCATTTTTTTAGTTTTTTTACGTGTTTTGGTTCTATACCTTTTTCGAATTATTATTCTCGTCGGTTTCCGTTTGTCGATAAACTCGTTTCCTCAAATTGTTTATTTTAAAAAATAATTAAATATTTATTACCGAAGTCGAAGTATTATGATACCCGACCCGTATCCACATCCAATGGCTTCTCCTTCACTTTTCTATGTTCGTTAGTACTTGTGACAACTATCCTGGGTTTGGTCGTGCGCGTGAGTCGGGATTAGTCTGAGCCTTTAGGTTTGGGATCACCCGATTACCAAAAAAAAAAAAAAAAAAACTATCCAGGCTTTATTCATCAATTTTCTAAACGTTGGTTTTCATCTCGAGCATCTATAGATCTTTGGACCGTCCATCTTGCATCCCTACCTTTTCACCAAGTTATATCACCATATTTTCTCGTAAATGTGAAATGAAATATCAAAATATTTATATTTATAATTACCATTTTTTTTTTATTTTTTATTTTTATTTTTTGCCTGATGTGATAAATTAAGTTAGATGGCGGTGTTTAACCCAAAAAAAAGTTAGGTGGCGTGCACATCAAGTTTCAAACAACAAAATTTTCATGCCTTGAAGACTGTTTAGAAAATTGCCACCGATTTTAAAAGTTGGAATATTTTTTTTATATATATTTAAATGTATAATATATTTATTCGTCAAATTAAAAGTTTGTCTCATTTTGAAGTTTGTATTTTTCCTATCATTTAAGAAAAGAATAATGAATAATCATATAGTCCAAAAATTTATTCCCGCAAGTGAGTCGGCATTCACACGTATCCGCAAACAAAGGATATCCTACCCCAAACAAAAAATCCCTCTAACCGCCGCAAGCTCCGCCGCATCCGGCTGCACAGGTCGACCCATCGTTGTGGCTTTCCGACGCTCTGGCTTTAGACGCTCCGTCGGCGCACGAGAAAATTGCGGCGGCGACGATCGACAAAACCACCATAGCTGACCACACGTAGAGGACAATACCACCACCGTCTCCGCCGTCGAATCCCAATTCTCTAGCCATCGGGAAATTTCCTTATGTCGACTGTCACATGGCCAAAGGGTCTTATACGAAGAAGATATTGTTACCTTTTTGAGTAATGTGATTTTGCTTTTCATAGTCATCAATCACTGAAAATGCATATATGTTTGACTTTTCGCTTGTTGACCTTTCGATTCCGTCTAAGGTCGGATTATAATTTGATCTTTGGACAATCGAACTCGCAGGAAAAAAAAGAAGCAAGAGCAAAAAAAGGTACTGTGTTTAACAAAAAAAAAAAAAAAAAAAGGTACTGTGATCGATTTATTATAGAGAAATATATATTTTTCCTTGAGTATATTTGGTAAAAAAAATATCCTGTCAATCAATATATATTTTCTTTTGATGAAACTGTCAATCAATATATTAAAGAGAAATAGACGACAATCTTTTGGTTGGTGATAAAAAAAGTTTTTTTTACTAACGTAGTTACGATATTAATTTATTGATAAAAATCTATTTCGTTTATAAATTATGTACAATTATTCAAGAAAAGTTTGATACAAAGGAGAATTATTTTGGCAATATAACGGAGATCTGATAGCCTAATTAAGTTTTATTTATAGTTGGTCGATATTGGGATATATCAAAAATATCTTTAAAATGTTACATTTACTTCATGATATATCTTTCAAATCCAAAAAGTAAAAGAAAAATTTAAAAATAGGTAATAGGCAAAAAATCCCTAATTAAAAGGATGCGTGATAATCTTTTTAAAGAACATGTTCAATTTTTTTCTCAGGGATCCACTTAAATAAATGTTCCGAAATTTCACTAAATCATAGACAATTTTTTTTTTCAATAACATCTAAAAAATTTCTAAAGCAAAATTAAATCGAATCAATCTGATCGCATTGGTTATACTAATTATATGTCACGCACTACCAAAAAAAAAAATAGTAAAAAAGGGACAACTTTTACGTCACAATTTTATATTTTTGCGTGACCTTTTTCAAAAGGTGAAAAATGTGATACAAAAATGACGCAATAAAAAACGTCGCTATTCACATCGTCACCAATTCAGATTTCGTTATCAAACATCATCTAAGGGTGACATAATAGTAACTCAACTTTTGCGTCACTATTTAGTGACGAAATTATTGCGTCACTAAAACATATTTTTGGTCCAAAATTTTTTTATTGATCCCGAACCCAATCCTATATTCTAATCCCGATTTCTAACCTCTCGAACCAAATCTTAAACCGAATCGAAAATTGTGAAATTGAAATCTCGAAATCTATTTTCTACGAGGTCATTCATCCTTCCACTATTCCAACACAAACACGTTTAACTTTGGAGTTTCAATTGACAAACAACCAACTACTCCAAGTTAAACTTCTAATACATTATATCATTAATACATATACATATGCAAATATTTATATGTACAAATATATAAGTTTATGTTTGTACATATATACATATACACAAAATATATTTGTTTATATATATAATATATGTTTATACATACCCAAAATTGAGTGGCTCAACCGGTAAGGAAGGGAAAAAAGCTCATTCTCAATCCGAATTCGAGTCCTCATTGGGGAGAGACATTCACATGGACTTTTTAGAGAGGAACATTCACATAGACTTCTTCGGTCCTCTGGAAGATGTAGTCGAACCAAAGATTCGGTGAACTTCCGGATTATAAAAAAAATATTTATGTATAAATACTCGTATATTTGTATGTACATATATATATATACATAATATATACGTATATATAAAATACACGTTTATATATATATACCCGTATATTTATACGTATAAATACATATATATAATATACGTTTATATAAAATTTATATTTATATATATTGTTCGTATATTTGTACGTACAAATATATATACGTATATATAAAATATATATTTTTATATAAATATTCGTACATTTATATGTATAAATAATAAAAATATAGGTATTGTGACGCAATTGCATTACTCTTGCGTCACCTTTTTTAGTGACACAAATTTTACGTCACTTACTAGTTGCGTGACTATTGCGTCATGATAGACCCAAAGACATGATGAGGGTGAAAAGATGACTAGAATTCTCTATGCATCAACAACAAGATCCATCATGTATGTCATATTATATAGTCAACCCGATGTATCATATACATTAAGTTTGACCAGTAAATACTAAATACCAATTTGATTATGTAGAGTCACAGTAGATCGGAATCAATAACTACTTCGCAATTAAGAAAATCTTTAAGTACTTGTGAATGACTAAAAATGCGTTCTTGATATATTGTGGATGGAAAAACCATCATGTTATAAATTGGTTATTCTGGTGCTAGTTTACAGTCCAATAGAAAATGACTATCGATCGTAGTCGGCGTTACTTATTCATGATGAATGGGGTCGCCATTAGCTAGAATAGTCCTAACCAAGTAATAATTGTTGATTCTACATTTGAAGTTGAGTATATAATGTCATCAAACTCTAATATGGAGGTTGTATAGATTATAAAGTTCGTTAGCGACTTTATAGTCGTTTCCACCATTGTTGATCCAATAAATATTGTATTGTGACAATAACATACACATGATAAGGAACTGATGCATCATGATAGAACCAAACACATATTTAAACTATATCATCTTATTAGAGAGATCATGGACAAAAGTGACATGAGTATATGCAAAGTACCGAAAAATAACAACATCATTGTGTCAGAGATTTAAAGATCACTAAACATCCATTCATAACTGTTTTTAGAATTCCAAATTATAATAATAAATGAAATAAATTTTGGAACATTGTTGGCTAAAAATTTCACTTTAGTTATATACCATAATTATAAAACAATCTCTTTATATTAGATCTAATATTGTTTATTAATTAGTGATACATGGGTAAACAAATGGTTATATTCGGTTTATTCATTCTATTAATTTTGAATTGATTTATTCGGTTTACGGTTAATTCGAATCCGATTATTTCGTATTTTCAAAATTAATAACAAACGTTGATTTAATTTTAAGCGATCCAATTCAGTTCGGATATAAATTATTCGGGGTTGGTTCGGTTTTCAAATAACCAAAGCAAAACTCATCGGTTTTTGCTATTTGTTTTTTTTTCTTCCTCGAAGAAACACAATTTCAAAAATTTTCAGAGGCTTTCGGCTTCCACTACAAGTTGTCCAATGGGCCATGATTGAGAGACTTCAACTACACCTCCTCTCCCTCTCCCTCTCTTGGCCCTCGGGGTTCTCCGCCATCGCTTCTGGTTCCTCTTTCTCTTCACCGTCGCTCTTGCCAAGGTTCTCCCTGTCAGAGGAGTCGCCGCATTCGCTGCTGTCTCCACCGTTGGCATTCGCCATCAGTTTCTCCACCATCTATCCGGTCGAAGCCTGAGTTCTAACCAAAATCCACCATTACAATTGCCTTGCATGCAGCCATCGTGTACAGTGCAATGAGTATAATTGTCAGGTATATTCTGTTTTTCTTAGAGAAATTCGTGTCTATGAGTCGGTGATTTGTTCCCTAACATTGCTTAAACGACACCTTTTTCTGTGGAAGGGCACGTTTCTCACTTCAGTCACGAGGGTTGAACTGGTTCTACAAAACCTGGAATGCTACGATCATTCATTTAATGTCCTGAATTCTTCTGGTAGTTTCGTACCGCGCTTTTTCTTCAGCTCTCCTTTTTTAGAAATTCTTGAAATGCGTAGTTCAGGAATTGAAATTCTGTGATTGTGAAACCCGTAAATTCATTCCAATGCTGGCTTGGGCCTGTGTATCATTTGTTTGTTCAAAGTCTTTATCAGTAATCATCGTTTGCTATTTCTTCCCAGTTAATAACAAGATGAGTTACGAAAGTAATACAAACCTTTCCCATGGCGTTGTGGCTATTAAACCCGAGCCTGGCGCTCTTGGAACCGATGTGAATCAACAAAACTCTCATGGTAATGGTGTGCATAATTCGGGACGGTGTCTACAAAGCCAAGATTCAGGAGAAAATAGAAGTTCAATAGTTCAAAGCACTGGTCAAAGTAGCAGCAGTAGTGCAGTAGAACAGGTTCAATCACCTGTCGACGATCTGGGTGTTACTTCTGAATTGGTTATATGTCCAGCCCCAATTTGTCGTCAATTCTGGAAAGCAGGAAAGTATGATGATGGATTTGGTCCAGAGGCTCGTGCTCATCATTCAGGTCTGGTATGATAAGTTATCATTTAGTGTGTGTATTCATACTTCTTACTTGGAATTATCTGTTTTTTATACACTTTGATACTATTGTATTGGAATGGGTTCTAGAGGTCCTACGCTTGAATTCATTATTTTTCCATGCCTATGAGAATTTTGACTCGAAATGCCTTATTTTTCGTATATTTCTGCTCTTCCCATGCTTGGGTTTATGAGTTTGTAAAACATGTCAGTGACATTATTTGCTTGCTTATTATATGTCTGGACAAATATATTACAGATGGAAAAAATTATCTTCATGTCCATCCGATGTTTCTTCACTCAAATGCTACTTCACATAAATGGGCTTTTGGTGGTAAGCCTGAACAACTATAGTTTCTTGAGCCCTTTTTCCTCTTTCTTCTGTGGCCAATCAAAATTGTTCAAGTGATTTAATAAGGTGATCGGGTTTTGTATGTGCAGCCATTGCCGAACTGCTTGACAATGCTGTTGATGAGGTGATTCATACTTTCTCCTTTTGACTTGTTCTTTCATTTTCTTCTTTTTTCATAATTGTGTTTATTGCTATAATGTGGAGTCGGTGTTTGTTCATTGCTGCGAATTGTTTTCTGCAAGCCTAACATTTTATTGGAAACTTTAAAATTTTCTGCAGTCTGGGTCAAACATGTTTCATTCTCCATCTCAAGTCTGTCATTTGTTTCATTCAAGTTGAAATATATCCTAAATTTTAATAGTTCGTGTTAAAATTCTGAATGATAACTTTTTATAACGGATTATGCTCGGATTCTTATTTCCCTATAGATCCAAAATGGGGCCACTTTTGTCATTGTAGATAAAACCAAAAATCCAAGGGATGGTATGGCAGCATTGCTAATACATGGTATCGATGCTCAACAATTTTTATTTTTATTTTTGTCCTGTAATTCCTTGACCTCTTTAATGTGGGATGGAAGAAAAGGACTTATGTAGTCATCTTTGCTTAAATGTTTGCAAGATGATGGAGGTGGGATGGATCCTCAAGCAATACGACATTGCATGGGTTTTGGATTCTCAGAAAAGAAATCAGAATCAGCTATAGGAAGATGTATAAATCATTTTTTATTTTCTTAACACGTGTATGGTTCCTTGCTTTGTTACTCGTATCTTGAATTGTGATTCTTCAGATGGAAATGGTTTCAAGACAAGCACAATGAGACTTGGGGCAGATGTCATTGTCTTCAGCCGCCATTTAAAGAATGAGTGAGTTAGCAGTGATTTGCGTCATCATTGTTACATGTTTTATGATCTGAAACGAAGCTACTCTAGTAGTATTTGTTGGCTTGAAGGAATACTGAACCGAATATATGATCTATTTTTGTTATTGTCTTGGTTCCTTTTGTTAATCATTTCAGCCATAGTCAGTTCTCTGAATTAGAGAGATGTTGATTGCTTTGATTTTCTTTCTGACTAGAACGTGGACACAAAGCATTGGACTCCTTTCTTATACATATCTGACACGAACTGGCCACGATAGAATAGTTGTTCCCATTGTGAGTCTATCTCTCTCTCATTCCAACATTTTTGGTATCTCCCCCTTATTCACCTTATTCTGTAACCTGTTTGACAATTCAGTTGGATTACGAGTTTAATAAGACAACAGGCAGATTTGAGGTGTTGCAAGATATGGACCACTTTGTACCAAATCTTGACATTCTACTAGAATGGTCTCCATTTTCTACGGAAGCAGAACTTTTGAAGCAAGTAAGCCAAAAACATCTGTTTTCCTGCCTTTTGTACCCATGTGATTCAAGCTGTTTTCTTGCAATCTGGGTTTTTTTAGTATATACTTGGCATCTTTGAGTTATCCTGTGTTTTATGTGAACTAATGGTCTTTCCCATTGTTTAGGTTACTATAGTGAAATGCTTTTTTGGGGGTTATTTTTGGATTTAATTACTTGTATAGTTTTGATAGTCTCAACCCCAGTCCTCCATTCCCAAATTTCTTTTTATGTTGAAATTTCTCATCGGAGCTTGCATTTTTTCCCTCTTACTACATGATACGAGAAAAATCGAACAGGTCCGTAAGTTGATGAGATGGATGAACTCAATATTCTTTTGATTCCTTCTTCTTTGTTGTTAAGTTTCTGCTCAAACGTCAAAATTGTAAAATTTCTGAATTTTATTTTTGATTTGTATCATCATATTTACATATGTTAAAACATTTTATTTAAGATTTACTAGTTGCTATTCTGGATTTGTTTGTTTCCTAACTTTGCGATTTTGTAACAGTTTGACAGCATTGGGCCTCATGGGACAATGATAATTATCTATAATCTCTGGTTCAACAACGATGCTAAACTGGAATTAGATTTCGATTCAGATGCTGAGGTTGATTTTCTTTTATTTTCAGATTCTTTTATTGTCAAGATTAGCATGTAACTGAAATTTTAGTTGATTCCTAATTCCTTATTCACAGGACATTCTCATTGATGGAAACTTAAAAAAAGCTCAGACTGCGAATGAACAACATATTGCAAACCGGTTCTCTTATTCGCTTCGTGTAAGCTTGTTCTTTACTATAATGTATACAGGAGCAATATTGTGCTGATGTTCATGCCCATGCGTTCTGAAATTGCATGTCATTCTATTCTGTAATATAGGAGTATGCCCATATATGTGAATATGTACTAATACTTATAGGAAATGCATGATGCACAAAAACATTGATAAGTGGGCTACAACCAGTTCTATATCAGCAACCATATCTGCAACTTTCTTTGCATGTGCACAAAATTTATATATTGACATATACCTGAAAGGGGATTGGTCTCACTGCAATGCCTGTGCAGGTTTACCTCTCCATACTATACCTGCGGCTTCCTGAGAATTTCACAGTTGTGTTGCGTGGTAAAGTTGTTGAGCATCACAACATTGCTGATGATCTCAAGTATCTGCAGTACATTTTGTATAAACCTCAAACTGGTGGATGTGCAAAGGTGCAGAGAATTTCTGGAAGCTTTCGGTTTCCTTTATTTTCTTTGCGAACTATTTTTGTGTTTTCCTTTATTTTAATTAGAATATTTGGTTCAATGCAGGGGACAGTTGTAACGACAATTGGATTTCTGAAAGACGCCCCTCGAGTAAATATTCATGGCTTTTGTGTTTATCATAAGAACCGTCTAATAATGGTGAGTTTTAAATGGTTTAAAAATGTTGTCAGTGCTTAGTTCTTTATAAATTACGATTTAGATCTCAGAAGCTGCTGGAGTAGTTTACAGTTTGCCTCAGTTGGTATTTGGTTGTACATTATACCTCATGATGTAGCATCAGTGTTGCTGGATTCATTATGCGTTTAGAAGCATACAAATATATATTATGTTATATCTGTCAAACATCTATAAAGAAGATGGGGAAAAAAATCCCTAAGGCAAGTTTCCAGTATATGCCTCTATGGGAAAAGATTTATTCCCTTTGGTAGATATAAAAAGTCGGTTGTCTTTATCTGGGTGATTCTCTTGTCCTTTATGTTGCACTGACCTGGTCTGGGTTCTCTGCTCTTTTCAGCCATTTTGGCGCGTCATTAACTGCTCGAATAGCCGTGGTAGAGGAGTGATTGGTAAGAAGCTGCATGAATTGTCAATCTAACTAAATAATTTTTGTGTTGGTCATGTAAAGTTTTAGCGCTGTATTCAGAAAAGTTTTGCTATATCTTAAGTAACATCTGCATATCATTTTCAGGTGTTTTAGAAGCTAATTTTATCGAGCCAACTCATAATAAACAGGATTTCGAGAAAACTTCACTTCTCCAGAAGCTTGAGAACCGTCTAAAGGAAATGACTTGGGAATATTGGTAATTATCTGAGCCTTCAATATTTACTGGCTCTAGCGGATACCTTTTCTTCTCCCCTGAGAAAGTATATATATGCATTGGGACTGGTATAAGATCTTACAAAATATCTCTTTCCCCTTACCAATTAGCAAATATCGATTATCCAAATTGCCTCAAAATATTCTCTTATTGCTTGGATTGACTTGGATAAATTTTTTGTAACATTTTACTACTTAATTCATTTTATGTGGTTGAAAATTCTTAAAAGGGACTATCATTGCATGTTGATTGGATATCAAGCGAAGCCCCATATCCGGAAATCTCAAGATATTCCGTCTGACAGTGGGATGAATAGCAGCACACATCTAAATAAAACTTCGGTAGGTGTTGGCGGCACACAAACAATAACTGCTCCTCCAGGTTTCCACCAATCTTTTACAAAAGGCAACTCAACATCTCTCTCTAGAGCTACAGTTGAACCAGGTAAACACTTAATTTGCTGCTTACACTGTTCCTTGTATGATGATTGTTTGACAATCTGTGCTACTAAATTTAAGTTGTCAAAGTTGTCATCATGGTTTGGACTTTGATCAGATCATGATTAGAATAGTAAATATTGACATGACTGAACCAACAGGATGCTTCAAGACCTTAATCCCTCGGGTTTGTCCAGGAGTTCACCCGTTTTAGGAAAAAAAATGATGATTGCACAGCTAAGACCATGGTTATAGGTTTTGAAACTGGCCCATGCGGAATCTTTATAAATGTTTAAAAATTTTCTGACAGTTTTTTTCTCTGTAAATATAGTTGTGGCTAAAAAGCTATTTTTTGTAAATTGTAACAACAGTTTTATAGAACTGTTTACTGCCCCTGATCATTTTCGTCTTCCATAGTATTCTAACTATTTATTGCCATTATTTGAAGTTGCACTTCTACAAAATAGCTTTTGCAACAAATACGACATTTTACAGGAACACAAATGTTATTTTCTTGATTGCCGATTTCATGTTGCAAGACTGCTAATAGCTGTCATAGAAAGAGATTGGTATTCTTTCTTCGAAGGTAGAGGATTTTTGTCTGTGGGCTGAGAAGATTGTTCATTTTAGATGTTCAGACCTGTTTGAGAATTTCTTTTGTGGCTTAGTATTTACTGTAGAGGGATGCAGGTGGATCCTTTTGCTGGATCCGAAAATACCCATTGGACCAGAAAGTTTATGTACAATTTAGTGTCAATTATAAGGATGCCTATGGATATCATTGCCATTCGGAGGAAAGAAGTAATTGCACAGTCAATTAGTTATACATTATATTAAAATGTGTTTTGTTGTGCCATCACTCTTAAAACCCTGCCTTACTCATGTCTGTTGGTTGCATTTTTCTAGTATTGTTGGCAAAGAGGAAACAAGTTCCTGATTTGGTAGAATCTGCAGTGACCAAACGACAGGCTGGAAATACTGTCCAATCTGTTTCACGACAAAGTCCTACTGAGCAGGTAGCACAAAATTCCTCTATTTTCTTTCGTTTCCTCTAGAGAAGCATTTACCTACATAGCTCTGCAATGCTTTGCGCAAAAGCCCTGGCTTGTCATAGCAAAATGCTTTATATAAAAACACGATATTTTCTATGTGATTCCTTGCCTAGGGTACTCTGGGATTGTTGACCTTGTAGATTAGAAAGAAAAATAACACCAAGATTATGTTATATGTGTTTTATGAGCGATTCTCGATGGATCGATGAAGAGCTGATTGGTGCACATTCATGTGTGTGTGTGTGTTAGCCTGTGAGTTTGTGTCCACATATAAAACCGACTATATGTAAATTTGCTTAGCATAAGAGTGAAAATATTTCACGTGGCTTGGGATTCTGGTTACGTAGTGAATCGAGAAGAACGAAGCAGCATAACACATCATCTGAATTTTCCGATTTTCTCAAATTCTCGATGACACATCACGCGCATTAGTTTGTATTATTTCTCTGGAGGTGGGTGGACGTTCGTTTCTTTTTATTTTCTTGTTACCAAAGCACTATCGTGCTATATTGTGTTTACTTGTTTCACGAGATTGAAGCTTGTTGTTTCCACTTTTTAGATTGGGTTATTGACCCCCTCCATTGTAGCTTCTGTAACCTTTGTTTCTTCATATGTTTTGAAGTCTGGTCATACATCTGCAATGCAATCAAAAGATCCGGGAACTGTTGGCTTGATGGAAGAGAACAAAAAGCTCCGGGCAAAGTAAGTAATTTTTTTTGGGTTCAATTTGCTAAGAAGTGCAAGTGGGAATTTATATCTCACTATGCAGATCGTCGCTTCTTGAACTCGATTTAACCGTGCTCCCCTAATTTTTATTTATGATTTCCCATTGGAATTTGTTTATGCTTCTTTTTACAGATGCTTGGAACACATGAAGCGTAGCGAAAAACTTGAACTCAAGGTACTTAATTTTAACTATTCTGATTTAGTACTCAGGAAGTATTTAGTAGTTGATAACTGAGAAATAAAAGTTTTTTGTGTGTTTGATTTACCTTTAGTTAAAAATATAAGCTACGAAATAAATAATATGATGGAAACCAGGAAGTATATAGGGGATTGATGAGAATACATGAGATTCTGGATTAAATTAGTCTTCAGGCGATTGGGCGTTGATTTTAGCTCTTGACTGATAATTTCTGGTTCTGTTTTTGTTAGTTTCGTTCTCCTATTTCTAGTCGACGGGGGATGAGTCGAGAGTAAAGAAGTTAAGAACGATGTGTGATCATCTGGTTAATTTCTATGGGATTTGAATCGACGACAAGGGACTTTTTCCCTTGTTGGAGAGAGTACTATTTTAACACCCTTGTTATCTTTTCCTGTAGTAAAATGCTTCCCTCTTTTATAATTACATTCTTCTCTGAACACTCAAACCCCATTAGCTTCCTTGTCATGACATGTTTTGAACGTTATCCGTACAGGCATCTAAGCTGAGGAGTGAGATTGGGAAGACCAACCGCGAGTACGAGAGGCTAATGACGGAGTTTCGAGCTTTGGATGTGGTAAAAGAGGAGCACAGAAATGAACGTACATAGATATTTATGGTTTCTTCTGTTTCTCTTAGCTTTGAAACTTCAGCACGAATCCCGTGTATGGATTACACGTCTATATATTAGTCGTTTCTATACGAAGAAAGCTTCTAGCTTTTGTTTATGAATCCCGAACAGGTTCTAGGGTTTGTAACCCGCATGCTTGGGTCGGAGGTGAGAGTACATGAAAAACTGATATTTTTTACCAGGCAGATGATAATGGACTGAAGTTATGGCTAATTCCGAGGCTCGATAGCTCCATGTGAGTATCACGCGAGGAAAATAATCATCTAGTTTAATTTCGTCTTATAAACCCGATTCGAAGTTTTGCCGTGAATCGGGTTTAGAGGAATGTATTAGGTTGGTTGGTAAAATCATATAGGAGGAAAGAGAGTAACAATAAAAGGATAATTTAAATTTTATTGATATTACTGTATATCAATTGAAACTCATGAAGTTGTTATAAAAAAGAATGAAGGTAATAACCAGATAAAAAAAATTCTAAAAGTTAAATGAGCTATGTTAAACTTTGTTATACAGGAGGGGTTAGGGCATTGTTATGGAGTGTTGGTCCACGTGAAAAATGTTTATAATTCAAGCGGAGTTTGTATATTGCAATCTAGAAATGATTGGAACTTCTTAATTTTATTACAACAAATCTAACGCTCAAATCTTGAACGGAACAACGCTCATATTTCACTAGTTAAACTACCGAAATTTGGATTTCGCCTAATTACTACTTGTTCATTTCTTTTGGAGAAGTTTTCTTTCGCGGTTTGAAATCATAACATATAGTTTGCAAAGATATAATTGCTTTTGACCCATTATGGTTTTTGTACATTGTGCAAGGAACAAAAAAATAGGAAGAATAGAGCCATCATCTCGAAGTGAAATGTGTTTGTTGCTCGGTGGGCTTAGGCATTGAAGTAATATGATACATATCTTTTCTGTTTTTGAACCTAATATTAGAAAGTTAAATAAAAATACTGATTTGAATTCTTAAGTATTTTGGTTGTACTTATGGTAGAATTTTCACCTTATAGTCGGTCAATTTTAATGGGTGATCATATCTCCATTTATGATGCTCAAATGGTTTCATATAAGACGTTTTAATAATCTGAAATAAAAAAAATGTTGAAACTCAATGTATTTATAATTTATTTCTTTTTTAATTGTAGATTTTTTTAATTCTAGCATGTTAAACCATGCTCAATATTGTGAAACGAATACAATAAATCGAACCTAAAATATTGAAATCTCAATGTATTTATAACTTCAATTAGTTTATTTCTTTTTTTAATAGTATATTTTTTCTTAGAACGTAAATACTAGACTCCTTACTATGAATTTAAAGAATCTTATTGATAGATTTGATAATTTAAGTAATCGACAGCGTGTCTCAATAATAGCATATAAAAATTGTTATTTTTATATAATATTTGTCAATTGGATTCTTTAGAGAGAACATCTCAAATATGGATTGCATACAATACAGTGGTCTCATCTTCATGACGTTTCAAGTAACTTATGTAATTCAGAAGGGCATGGAGAATCACTCCTCGAGATCTTCAAGCAGTCAAAAAGGTTTCTTCTTTCTCTACTTAGGTTTGGTCTGTGATTAGACCTGCGACACTGAAATGAGGAGACATTGGAAACAAAAAAACAAAAAACAAAATCTATGCGTTGAAGAGTTTCCTGAAGGGTCCATCTTTGCGGTCTTTCGCGGCTTCAGTTAGAGCAAGGAACCTCTTAAAGCCGGTGGTTGCGGCTCCTCTGCCGAGAGCGGCGGCTCGGGTCAGCACGTCCTCGCTGTTCGCTATGAACCCTACGGCCGCTGCAGGGTTAATGATCGTTGTTGGAGCTGTGGGTGGAGGAGGAGGTACCACCACCGATGGCTTTGCGATTCCCGGGCCATGCTTGTTGAAGTCGTCTAGTATACTCTGCTGGTCGGCTTTCTTAAGGCCCTGAAAATATCAGAACGATTCAGGAACCGGTTGCCCGTAAAGTTCTATACCCGAAAATTATAAGAAAATGCTACACCACCTAGAAGATATATCTTCTGCTAGGTATTTGGGATAAACAGTCTATATTTTCTGAGACTAAAAATAGAATGCTACTGCAGGAGGCGTGTATAACACGGGATGAACACCGATGTCAAGGAAATTGGCTAAATAAACACTGGCAAGTGGCAGGGAAATCGACTGAGTACCTTAAGCTCCAAAATCCGTTGAAACTCCATTGGTGTTCCTTCAGGGAATAGTGCACGATAAGTGTCTGCCACTGAATCAACCGGGGACAGAATGACCTACAGTGAACGACAATAGTGTTCATGCTTTCGGGAAAAACCAAAAGACGTCCAAGAAAAGGGGAAAAGGGTTGTCTGGCTGAAGTTCGAGTGAAACAGACCTTTAGAAGTGCTTCAGCTTTGCTCATTTCACGACTAACGAATTTGGAATAACTTGCAGCGGTTGAAGTCTGCAAGAATATTGTTAAGAAGTGTGATGATATGAAAGCACAACACGCTTGAAGTCTTGAACCGTAACGAGTTTTATTTAACTATTGAACTTCCAGGCAAAAACGATAGCCAGCAGAGGTACAAATACATCAGCACAGATTATCTAACCTGTCGAGCAAGGGACGGAATTTCTAGAAGAATTGTCTTCATTGCTTGCGTATCTAACAACATCTGCAAACCCGGAAAAAGATGATAGGGGATCAACAGAAGAACAACTGAAAAGAAAACCTCGTAGACACATCAAGATGATAGGTGATCACTGGAGCTACAATATTTTGAAAGCATGACCATGATGGTCCTAGCATTAACTTTCCCCTTTTAGTCTACTGGTTCTAGATTTAATTGGTTGCAGCAGAAAAAAGCCAAAAGAGATAAGGATCTGAATGCCAACAATAATCATGAAATCCAAGTCCCTGATGCATTGAATCCAAAAAAGGGACTGGATACACAAGATAAAGGTATGAATAAAACCGTCCAATTTCATGTAGAACGAGGACATAAAGGACAAGCTTCTGGAAGTCATGGTTAACCAAGAGAAACATTGTAAGGAAACATGAACGTCGAGGAATACAGAGCACAAAACCGACCTGCTGAGCTCCAGTTTCCGATATTTGCTTACATTTGAAAATATTAGCGTAGAACCTTGGACCAAGGGATGATGCTAGCTGCACAAAACAATAAAAATAAAACAATTGCCATTATCTATCGTTGTCTGCATGGAATACAACATAATCCTGGGTGATTAGCAATGGACAGTAACAATTTCGGAAACGAAGAGAATGTACATTGAAACAATTACAATCACATGGTAGAGTGTTAATACTGTAAAATACAATTAACGTGGGTCCTGAAGTTTTTATAAACAGCAATAACCTAATCATGAACACAACAAATCATGACACTAGCAAATCGTGATCATAATCACTTTACAATTACCTTGTCTAGGAAGAACTGGAAGTAGACCGGTGTTAGAAGGTTTCCTAGAATAGGAATGCTGCTGCTTAGGATTGTATTTATTCCATTAACATACCTACATGGGGATGCAAAACCATTTTGTTAGAGCAGCAAATATTCTGCCCTGTGGGTATGGATGGGGTGAGGATTGAGTCGTTGGAGGTGCATTAAATGCCATTTAAGACCTTACCCTGACTGATCACCCACACTTTCGAGTGTTCCCCATGGGACACGTGTCATTGCTGCCATTTCAGAGTCGAATTTAGTCTCCAATCCAAGAACTAGTGTCACCAATGCTTTTGTTATGACAGCCGAGAACTCATCCTGCACCGCAGATCAAGAGCTTAAGAAGAATTCAAAGTAATATCGAATATGGAAAATAGGAGTTGCATTATATTATCACACCTGAACCTCTGACATATCCACGCCTTCTGCATAATGAGGATCAATGATTTTTGAGACACTTTCTGCCAGTTCACCAGACTGTGAAACAATAAATGTAGGAGTTAGGAAGTCAATTGCTTATGTTTAACAAATTCTTAACTAGAATCATCCTGTTATCCTCGCATCTTTTATTATACTTGTTAACAAATGAGTAACGTAAAAACGGTCTAAGTGACAGGCGATTAATGAACAATACTCTCTTGCAGAGAAAAACTTGGAGAACATATATATATATATATATATATATATGTATATATGTATATATATATAAACAAAATCATTACATAACAGACTAAGATCAACGCCTTCAGATTTATATATGCCGATCACACAATGTTAGTATGTTAGGAAACTAAAATAACTTGGCAAAAACCACAGTTAAAGGGGAGGAAAAAGGATATTTCATTGCAGAACAATCAGGGAACTAAGAAGCTAGCCAGCTCCATGCCAAGTTCTTGAAGCTTGATACATAGAACATTGTAAAAATTACTGAAATTTCTGAAGACGACTAAGAATGGCATGAGAACTATATATTTCAATCCCTTATCACCCAATGCAAGTTCAGACCCCACAACAGCAATGCAGACAAGCAAGATTGATTGAGATGGTAGAAACTAAAAGCTGTAAGAAAACTGATAAATAGGCAGAAGCAAGCTCACTGTTTTGTGGCAATACTCGGCTGAATTAACGATGTAACATATCACCCTTTCATCTCTCTCTGAAATCTGCATAGTTCGAAGTATAAATGATAAAAGCACATCTGTAAGCAGAAGTAGAAAGGAATCATGTAAAAATGTTCACTACCTTTATCTGCCCGTCCATGCCTGTTGCTGCAGCAACAATGCCAGTACCACCCTTTGGGAGTTTAGAAAAGAGCTTTGTTGCATAGGCTTTAAGAATACGTTGAAACACCTGTAAACAGAGGCAGAACAAAAGTGCAGAACTAAGACTCTATGCAAATTACATAGTCACCAGATCCAGTTTTATCGCCAATTTGAAAAGCGAGAATACAAGGTTTCCATTATTAATAATTCCTAGTTCGGTAAATGAGAAAGTTCATTCTAAGACAAAGTTAGACAATACATTTCACCGCTCAAATCTGCAATCTAAATGAAATGTCAGTATTGAAGGTAAGATAAAGGAACCTTAAACAAATTAAATAAAGTCTGGTTCTTAGTCAGAGCACTGCACCGCTTCAAGCTCCTCTTTATAATGAGAAACAACTGCAAATAACGAAACGATAGAATATTTAAAATACTTCCGTCCTAGCAGATACCCAAGTATGCATATCTAAGAAATAGAAAGCTAATAAAATGTACAAAATGCACAAACATATGCAATCTTGGTATACAGTATATTTCTGAAAACTGTGATCCATGATTTCCTACTAGAAATGTTTATAAAATATAACCCTCGTATAGATGAAAGATTCAGATGGCACACTGTTGGCCATCAGTAGAGAAGTAAGAGGGATTGGGCTTACATCACAGACCAAAGAGAATTTCATAAGTAAACCTAGTGTTACAGACTTTTCTCTATCTGGGTCATATTTAGAAATTTCGGTTTTGTTCAAGATAGCTTAAATTTGAAAAGTTAAAGAACTGGAGAAAAAAAATCAATAACAACAAAATTCTTTTTTAGATGAACTTGAAAGCAAGCAACAGTTGCCAATGGGGAAAGGGGATATGGTGAATAATTCATCAATGCAAATAAAATGTAAATATACAATACAAGGTGGAAGTAGAATGACTTGAAGTGGATATATCACATAAAACATGAAATAAAAATGTCAACTGCTGATTATGAAGTTAAAATTCTCAGATAAACCTTCTTTAAGCATCTTGCATTATGTTTGACTGAAAATGCTGAAATGCATATAAAACAGCTTTGTTGGAAGCTTCAGATGCTAATTCTAACTTCACCCATGCATATACAATAATTGGATAGAGAAACAAAACCAAATGTAAGTGCTGACCTGCATGCTGCTAGATAAGACATTATCTTGGCTTCCCTCCTCAATTTCCCATGTTTCCTCCTAACAAACAGAAAAATTTAGAAAATAAGAAGCACAGCACAATGCCGTCTTTTTCTTAAAATACAAAAGAAGAAAATACCTGAACAAGTTTCTCCAGATTCTCCATAAGTGTCTTCTCTTCCAATTCCACATATATTGTCAAATGAGGTTCGAAGCAAGAAGAGATAATACCCCGGAAGTTGAACTACGAGGAGGAATCATTAGTGAGAAATATATCTTACGAATGAACATGGTGCCTCAAAAACTCAAAAAAATTGCATGTCAAATAATTTTGTCAGGTATGCAACATCCAAATTGAAGATAGCATACAGGAAATTTCAGCCCTCTTCACTAAAATGCATTAATTATGTTTATAAATTCAGGAGATTTAAGATTTTCATGCTTGTTCACCACAGAATGAAAAAAAATATATTGGTGCTGCTCAGTAAGAAGCAGTGGTGCATACAATAGGTTAAAGCAGAAAGGAAAAACAACTAGAAATAGGAGAGATACCCCGGCTCCAGGAACAGATAAATCTTTGTTGCCAATCTTTTCCTGTCACACAAATATAGAATGATACATCAGAACAAAATTTAAGCAAGCTAAGTTACTAGAACTTTTTTCTGACATACATTAAGAACATAGAACATACATCTGTCCCAGTTTCTTGATTAGCAGCAAGCTTTTTTTCATACTTCTTTCGGATTTCGGATACATTCTGACTATTGCTCTCGCCTTTACCAATTTCTTCAATGTCGTTTCCAATATCTCGAGTAGGAGCACCACCACCGAATTTCTCTTCCAGCTCGTCTTCAAATTCTAGGGTCCTTTGTAGTGCCTAGTTGAAAACATAAATAATTTTAAGAAACATCGAGCTATTCCATATCAACGCAATTAGCGATAATATGATAAAGAACATAAGAAACAGAATTTGATGGACGGCGACAGGATGGTTTGATCAAGGGATTTTTGAGAGACAGGAACTTGCCAAATACAGTACCAATCAAGAAAAAAATGATCAGATAATAGTGTGCCAGATTTTATATAAGAGCGGCATGCATAACAAGACCATAGAGAATATGGCACACCAGCAGTAATATCGCGACGTCTGGCTTCTCTTTCATGTTGATGAGTATAGATTCTAATTGCCTCCTGAAATATTGAGGGAATAGCAAGAACAGTTGTTAAATATTAACTAATGATGAAATTTATATTCATTTTGTGCGGCCAAGTGAACTACCAATCAAATGTAGGAAATATTTCAAGACAGAATTTGGAAGAGGAAAAGCTTTATGAAACAACTTCCCATAGATTTTGAGGATTATAAGAGAAAAGACAAAGGATCTGAGAACTATAATCTGACAAACCATGAAACTAAAAGAATAAGGATGGAAAGATGTTTCTCGGCAACTTAGGAAAGCATACCTAGTTTTCTTGCAGAACTGGATACATAAACGATAAGGTACATGCCAAGAAGCAGGAAAAATCTTCCAGATTTCTTCATTTGTTCGTATACGGCGTTTTATCCAAGCATATCTCCGCTCTGTTTTATCTAACTTAGCCAATTCTGCCCAAAACGAACTTTTCAGAAACCGAATCTGGGAAAGCATAAATCACACTTTCAAAATCAGAGACATAGCTTAATCTCAAACATACCAGCTCCTTCAAAAATTTGTTCGTATGAAGTTAGCTCCCTGCTGCAAAAGTTGTTAACCAATTCCTCCCTCACAGATGGCTCCAAAGCATCAACGACCAAGCAAGAATCAGACAACTGTTGTAACAAATTGATTTCTTCTGTCTCTTTTCCAGTACCTAAACTGAGACCACAGCGCTAGACTTTTTGAAAAACTATCTTAAGGCATCTAGAAAAGGAGAAACAAAGTATGAAAACAGGACAAAAAAATAATAACTTGGCAGAAAAAACTTTACCTGGAGAAATCAGAATACACATGGGACTTGAGAATTTGCTTTATATTCTTAAGCTTCTCTCTGAGCTCTGTTATTTTAGGAATATCCCTGTATGCTTCGAAATGGTTACATAATTGGTTTACAGCCTGAAATAAAATAAAAAATTATGGCACAATTTTAGTTAAAATATCAGATTTAATGGTACAAAGCTGTGCGTACAAATAATTTGGGAATATCAGAATATCAACAAAAATATGGAGAGACAGATGCTGGGAAGTAATCACAATTTCTCTCACATGTATACCCAGTAGACAGTTTTCCAAAAATTCTCAAACAAAGAATGTCCTAAGGGGAATGCTTCCAGAAACAGTAAATGATAGTTTATCCTCAAACACTTAAAAATGAGGTCTTAGGCCACTAGCCAGTAAAAAAGCGCTTAGTGATTTCAGAATGCCTGATCTCATAACTGCATCTAAAGCAATCATAATGAACCTAGTATTAATGCAACCGTTTGGAACTGAACTTGGGCCGACTAGCACGATAATGTTAATTCTTGGTTAAAATAAAAAATACCTCTAGTTGTGCAGCTGCCTCCTTGTATTGCCTTTTCGAAGCCATCACCTGAAGTTGTTCAACAGCAGAGACTGCCATGCCATGGAAGATATAGTTACATTATAAAAGTATGGAACAAAATGTAGTTTGTTAACTTAAATTACCTTCACCGAAAACATTAATTACACGAAGAATCAATATAAAGATTCCTGAATCGATTAACCGGTAACATCGTTAGAATTCTAGATCTCTGACATAAGTTTTTAATTACGACCAATAATATTAATAAACCAACTTCAAAATCCACCTGAACCATTATAAGATCAGATAGATAACAGAACTGATCCAGTTGGCGTAAGGACAAACAATAACCTTTCTTGTGGAGCTCTTGTCCATGCAGAGCTCACAGTTTAAATGTGTTCCTCATAGTCGCATCATTCAATCAAGTTAGAGATGAGCACTAATATTTTTAATGTAAGCAGAAAGAAGTCATTCATACAAAACTCTAAACGAACGCAATCTGCTTAAAGCTTCAGCTAGAAGTCTATCTGTCCATTCTTAACATGGGAAAAAACTGGTTCAAAGTAAGGTCTGTTAAACCAGATTTAATACTAATCAGCTACAATTCACTATATTTCAAATCTGGCCATCCTAGCCATGATTGATCAAAGTAGAGGAAAACTCATCAAACAGTGAAAAAAATGCACACTAACCTAACATTGTGAGCCGATGAAGGGCAGTGATCGTGGTGGTTATGTTCTTCTTTGCAAAATCTAATTTCTTAATGTCACGGCATATCTCTTGCACCATTGCTTCACTTTGCTCAGCTTTGGCTTTTATCTCTTGAATCTTATAAGAGAGTTCCTAAATTGGATAGAAAAAAAATAATTAAGTACCCAGAAAACTTGGGATTAAGGCAATGTTGTTGTTGTTGTTGTAAGTACCTAGAAAGATTGAAAAGAAAAGAAAAGATTGATAAGCAGGAAAAGAAGGAAATAGTATTTTGACTGCAGGCATATGCTACATTTGAGATTTTTCAGACTGCAAGAAACTTACCTCCACAGCATGTGTAGCAGCAGCAAGATCCTCCTTAGCTTTAGTTCCCGAATTACTCTGAAGCAACAACTCCAAACTCATTAAGAAGCTCAATAACAAAAGTTCTTATTATTTTATTTTTTTTTGGTTTACAAAGAGTTGAAGAAGCAAATTCTATTTCCAAAACAAAACATTGATTCCAGAGTCATTCGGCCACTAAAATTCCAGAACAAATGGTAGACTAGCACCACAGACATTATGTGTAACCAAATGTCTTTTGAGCTGACAGCAAGAACTCAAGCATTTGCCGAGTTTTGCATATGCGAAACAGTTCTAAAGCAACCAATTTTATAAACTCAAGTAATCTCTCATAAGATCTAGAAGTTTACCTGTTGACGAACAGCAGCTAATATGCTGGCATCAACACGACGAATCTCGCTATGAATCTTTTGCATAAGCGGCTCAACACCAGAGAGAGATGCTTCTGCAATATTGCCACCATTTAAAAACAATTGTGAATAAAAGATAGAACAAAAATCAATTTAATCAGCATTTCGGAAACCATAAGTTGCTCCACTGAAACTTTGGAGCATGATTGACCAGAGTTTTTTTGCTATACGAGATGATAGACAAGCAGGATTCACAATCCAAACTAAAGTATAGAGGCTCCAAAAATTTCAAACATCATTACAACACTATTACAATCTCATAGATTTTCATAATCTAAATAGAAATGCTAACAATCATATGAAAAAATTAACACGCGTATACCTAATTTCAAAACATAACTTCCAGAGATATTTAAGTGGAAAACGAATACAGACATTTCGTAGCAGAGACAACAAAACCCAAAGACCCCAAAGCTTTCTCTAATTCTACATAAACTTAAGATTGCTCCTGCAACTGTTTCAACCTTCATCTAGACAAACCAGAATTCGCTTTTCAATACAGCACCTGTCGGAAACATCTGGTTGATATATTCTAGAGCACTGGACTTGTCCATGGCTTGTGAGATCCGGAAAATCACACAAAATGGAGGATCTGCAAAACAAAAGGGCATGGATCATTGTCGGGAAGAAATGTTAAGAGTTTTTAACATAGAAATACAGAAATAAAAGCTTCAGAAACCCTAATTCAGAAACATCAGTGAGCACATACCCATCTGGTATCACTAAGACATCAAGTTAGCCCCAATTCCTAAATCAAATAGTGAAAAAGAAGCGGAAGAAAAATGTAGCACATTCTCCGGAAAAATCAACAACTATGATGCTCTAAATATACTCAATCAATAATAATAGTACCGATACCTGGCATAATCATCACGTTTGAATCATACAAGAACCTAATTACAATTAGAGAACCTAACAGTACCCCACCAAATCATATATCCATTTGATAATACAAGAAGAAAACCATATAACCAATGAAAGCAGAGACAACGCAGTTCCATCGGGCACCAACACAAACTAGCTCTGATCAGATAAACATCCCTAGTTACAATTAGAGAACCGAAGTTTTAAGTTAGAGAAAACAGAGCATATATGGACAGCTCGATTTCACAGGAAAGAACAGCTCTTTTTACTTCTCTTTTTCTTCTTCATACTAACTGAATCGATTTTCAGAAAAATCTTAGTAACAGGCAAACACTGTAATCTGGGTCGACATTCATCATAAGGAACTATAACCGAAACCTGAGCGCATACATATTTAAATATAAACATGGAGATGCTCATGAATCTAATACACTAGCGTGAAATAAGATCCGGAAAATGAAGGAATAAGAAAAAGAAGTAACGACTCGGGAATCTGATTTCACTTACAGAGTCTGGCGAGGGGGAGATGAAACGGGCGGAGTACGCCGAAGAAGGCAACGACACTGGAATCTAAAAAATCGCCGGCGATCTGCAGCCGCAACGGAACGACGTCAAGATCTGGGTTTCAGTGATTCATCAGCTTCCGTCAAAACCCAAAGCAATTTCGATCTGGGTTGAGCAGAGATTCCGTAATCAGAAGGCGAAATGCTAGATTCCACCGAGAAAGCAGACCGATCGGGACTTTGGGTTTGAAATCGAACCAGTCAAGAGAAAGCAAAAGAACAGACTAATCCAAATCAAAGACAGCGGAGACAGCAGTAGCGAAGGTCGTCGGCGACGTTACTGCGGCTGTCGTCGGCACCGCCGAGGGTGGAGGGAAGCGACAGATCGAGAGAGTTTCTTTTTTGTTGAAATCTCAGTCGATTCCAGGTCTTTGGTTATTGTTTTTTAAAAAATAATCTGATAATAATAAGCACAAATTTGCAATTTGTCAAAATAAGCTTTTAGCATTTTATGCAATGGAAGAGAGCGCACAAAAAAAAACTTCGTGATATTTCTACACATTAATAATAGTTATATTTTTAGAAATTTTAGTAAATTATCAGTTTAATTTATTTTAAGATGCATGTTAAATACTAATTTATTATCATAACAATATTGTCAAATTAGAATTAAATGCATAAATGTAATAATTTTTTTATGGTACAACAAAATACTAAATGTGTTCGAATTTATAAAAAACTAAAATCACAAATAAACATATTTACAAACTTAATAATTAATTTGGATAATTTTACCTATCGCAACCGCAAAGTTTCGTAAAAAAATAAAATTAAGGAAAGATAAGGAGATAAAACCTTGGTAAATTTTAATATCGATTGAATAAAGGAGAATCTAATTTGTGATGGCTGAATGGGTAGATGGTTAAAAAAGAGTTTTGTTGTATTGCCATCTCCAATGTCGACTTACTTTTGCCCTAAAATTTAAAGCCAAATACCCAAAAACTCAAGTATCCCCTACTTAACGTCATTATTATGTATTATCAATTAACCCGTTGTTTTTGCCATCATCTCTTATCATTATTTACTTCACCATTTCACTATTCATCCACTTTGACTCTTTGTTTTCAACTTACTTACAATTGGTTTGAAAACCAATGATTTGAGATTTTGAATGGTTGATATTACCGTTTTGTCTGTCTAAATTGCATTAAATAGATGATATATATATATATACACACACACATCCATGAATATGCCTTGGAAATTTAAATATATATATATTATGTGACTATAGTAATAATTAATAGATAAAATATATTAAAAGGTGTCAAAAGCTAAAGATATTTGTAAATTGTGTTTTATTTTAGATCTTTTCAATCTATACCCTCCAATGGTAAGTTCAATTGCCATGAATATCCTTTCTTATAAAATGGAATTACTGAAAATACCCTGGAAATATGGGAATCTATTTCTTCTCCGGGTTTTACCTTACTCAACATAGTCTGTCGACTCATTAACGTCTTCGTCCATACATAGGACTACGAGTAGGGATGGTCATTAGTCTCGTTACCCAAATTTTTTAGGATATTCGAATCCAAATCCAAACTTGGCAGGTTATAATTAACTAGATAATTGATAGATTTCTTTATAATTTTTTAATAATTTAAATATATAATAATTATTCTCTATTATTCGGATATATATGGGGTAATTATCCGATCCGAAAATACAAATCCGAATCTGAACCCAGATTTTGGATTTTAGACATTTTAAAACCTTATCTATATCCCATTGCAAGACCGATATCCAATTTTGGGTATCCGATACTCGGCTTGGGACGGATACCCAAAATTCGATTAATTTTGTCCACCCCTATGTAGGAGTCTCATATCATATTCAACGTCGTTGTCACTATTTTCGACAGATTTTTCATATAATGAGTTCATTTTTTTTATCCATACATAATTGTTTCTGTATCTATAGTCATAACATTAGGTTTCAACGTATTCTTTTTGGAAAACATTCAAGGGCTTAATGTCGAATATCTGACTAGCACGGGATGGACCGATCAAGTTTAATCCTTTAAACTTAACCTAATGTCAACGTAGAATTTTGACCTAGCATTTACGCAACCGGACGTATTACGTTTCACATTACGTTGTTTCTATTTGCATATAAAAGAAAAAATATATTTTAATTTCACTGCAATAAGAATGTTTAACCGTGAACAATTCATTATTATCTTTAATTTCAATATACGAAAAGTGAGTAGCTGTTAAAACATTAAATAAACAAATAATCCATATAAACAACCTTGACAAATCTTGTTGTTATATGTGTGTCAATGTCTTTTAACGCTTATTGCGAGAATAAACCTTGTCATTGCATATTTATGTAAACTCTTTGTAGATAAAATTCAAATATGTTTTTTTTTAATCTCAAACGTAGTCATTGTACTTGTGTGGATTTTCGTCAAGAAACAAATATGGTTTAATTTACAAGATTTTCGACAAATACAAATACATAATTTGTTATGGAAATAAACATGAGAATATAAAATACGTCAGGTTTAAAATTTAGAGCTTTAAGGTTTAGAATTTAGGGTGAGATAATAAATAATTGAGGTCTATAAAAAACATTGTTATATTGTGTGATTTCGTTTCGAGGAATAAATATACAAGAATACTTCGGGACAATACAATTCATATAAGATACATGTAAAGTTAATATTCTCAAATTCTTAACCGTTTAATTAACATAATTATATATATTAACTAACTTACTTATCTATATTAAAAATATGAATAATATTCGTTTAAATATTCTATTATATGAAAATTATATATTTTATATTGACTTGATTAATAATTATATCATATTTTAATTATATATTTTTTTATTTGTTATATATATCAAGATCTTTAAATCGTTTAGTATCAATTTAAACTACCATAAGATGCGATAGATGATCATATGATCATGTGTATTGGATATATATTATGTATTGTTGTCCGAGCAATGTTGAGGATGACAACTGTCCGTTGGTGCAAGTAATGCCTCCTCGAAGACCACTAAACCAGGGGGCACGAATAAAACGAATGCACACTGGAATAAGAGAGAGATCCTATTGTTGTGTATGTATGAGATTAAGTAGTAAACGATAATTTGAATGAACTGAATTATATACTCATATAATTGTAAGATACGTCTACTTTTTCGATTGATTATCTAGAGAGTGAACTCCAAAATTAATCATGTCTAAAGATGAATGACCTCTTGAAAAGTATATCTCAAAAAGTGTGCGAGAACAAAACACGCTGAAATGTCTCGTATTAGTCGATTAAAACAGTTTCAACATTCTCTAACGTAATGTTCTCGAGACGTTAGAAATGGTATCAAAACATGTAGAAGTGGATAAAAAATATGTGAATTTTGGATACCCGTCCCGACATAAGGGTCGAATATTTGAAGTTCGGATATCCGCCTTATAATGAGATCGAGATCGGGTTTTAATTTAAATTTGTAGGTAAAAAAAATAGACTTTCAAATCAGACGGACTTCTAATAAATCAGATTGTTTTTTGAAAAAATGTGAAAATTAATTCAAATGAAAAACTCTAATCTAAAGGTAAAACTCCGTCCGAATCTTAACCCGAATTTTATAGATCAGATTTCGAATTGAGTTTTATAAATTCGAAAAAATTTGGATAGTTCCAAACTCAAATCCAAAACCTTCGTAGCGTGGACTCAATGTCCGGTTTGACACTTACATTTAGATATTTAGAGAAAAAAAATATAGTTTACAAAGATAATTTAAATTTAAAATATTTTGCAAATTTTTTACACCTATGTCAAGACCCCTATATTTTATATCATTCAAAGAAATCTGCAAAAAATTGAAGTGACTAAAAAACGAAAACACACTGAGACGATCCCGAGACTGCCATGTGGCACTTTTTGTTTTTGTTTTTTTTTTGTCGGATCACTTAAAATCTATATATGAGGAAACAGGGGAAAAGCTCTGAGTTTGGAAGGTAATAAAAAAAAAAAGAACAAAAATCAGAGCATTTAGATCATGAAGGCTTCAGAATAAATCCATGGTTCCATGTGAAAACGAAAGAGATCTTTCACTCAAAAGTCGGTCGCGAATCACCGTTACAAGTTATACATAACACCTGCTTCGATCACTACTGCATTCTCTCCCTCTCTCAAATCCTGAATTGAAATCCATTTTTTGGTTCCTACTCTGGAGATCCATCAGTTTCTCGTTTTGACAAATCTGATCTTGCTTCGGATAGAGTCGCAATTTCGGACAAGGGTTTGTTGGGTTCTCCCAACAACATGACGGCACCGCCTCAGGATTTGTCGATGGAGCAAGAACAGGATGATACAGATGAGTTCGCCGAGATCGACCCAAGTGGCCGCTACGGCCGGGTTTGTGTCGAATTCCATCTCTTTCGGTCTTAAAACTTTGATTTTGCTTGCCTTTTGATAGTTCAAGGGATTTCCCCAAATGGGTTTCCTTATTTCTTGCTGATGATGACGACGAAAGCAAAGCTAGACTAGGGTTGTTGTCTGTCGTTTGATTTTTGCTTACTGGAAAAGCATCATTCATTGTATTTGTTTCCACTGAATTTGCAGTATAAGGAGGTTTTAGGAAGAGGAGCTTTCAAGAAAGTGTATCCTTTTCATGGTTTGATCTATTGGCTTGGCTTGTTTCCGAGTTCGAGCAGTCGTGGTTCTGCAGAAAATATATGTTCATTAGGCTTAGTATTAGTACTTCAGAGTTCTGGTTCTTTGCTTGAAACAAATAGGATTTTTGTTTGTTATGTTCTGTTGAAGAAATGAGTAGAATGTTTCATTTCCTTGATAGGGTTTACCAAATTCAGATACAGGGCGTTTGATGAACTGGAAGGAATAGAGGTAGCTTGGAATCAGATCAAAGTAGCTGATCTATTGCACAACTCGGTGGATATGGAGCGTTTCTATTCAGAAGTTCATCTGCTCAAGACTCTGAAACACAAAAATATAATAAAGTTGTACCATTCATGGGTTGATTCCAAAAACGAGACCATCAACTTCATCACTGAAATTTTCACGTCGGGAACATTAAGACAGTGAGTTTCTATATCTAGTGTTTTTCTTCTTTAGCAACTTGGCTTTTGCCTTTCGCCGGACGTATGATTTCCCGATTATGGGTAGGTACAGGAAGAAGCATAAGCATGTTGATCTGAGAGCATTAAAGAAATGGTCTCGACAGATTCTTGAGGGTCTTGCTTATCTTCATGGTCATGATCCTCCTGTGATCCACCGAGATCTCAAGTGTGATAATATCTTTATCAATGGTAACCAGGGTGAAGTCAAAATTGCAGATCTTGGTTTAGCTGCCATTTTGCACCAGACTCATTTAGCTCGTAGTGTTATTGGTGAGTAGTTATTCTTTTCATGTCACCTTATTCTGATGCCTAGTGAGTGAAAATGGACTCTCTCGAGTTGTGAATCCGATCATCGATGTTTATAGGTACCCCTGAATTTATGGCGCCTGAGCTTTACGAAGAGGAGTACAATGAGCTTGTTGACATTTATGCTTTCGGTATGTGCTTGCTTGAGTTGGTGACATTTGAGTACCCATATACTGAATGTGCCAATGCTGCTCAAATATACAAAAAAGTGACCTCGGTAAGTTCGTGTTTTCTTTCCTTATGTAGTCATGCATGGTTAGTTCTTACGTTTCTCTGCTTTGACATTGTGAGCATTCTTGATGTTGCAAGATTTCTCTTATAGTATTTCTTTTTTCACTCTAATTATGTTCTTACAAGTTACGACGGGAATATATTAACGTCCCTCACCAAGCATGGTGAAGTCTTACTTTATCTTGCCATTACATTCCTTTTGAGTTTCACAGCAGACCTTTTTATAACCATAGTCGATTTTTTTTTTAATGTAAGGGAATAAAACCAGCTTCACTTGCAAAGGTGGAGAATCCTGAAGTCAGAATATTTATAGAAAAGTGTATCGGGAAGGTATCTGACCGTTTAACGGCCGAGCAACTTCTGGAGGATCCTTTTCTGCGATCGGATGATGAGGCAGAGAGTATAGCTCATCCTCAGCATTCCAGAACCCATCATCATTCAGGTAAAACTCTTAAAACCTTTTGCATGGCTTAGAGGGCTACAAGTATTTGACGCTAAGTCATGGCTCTTGAGCTTGCAGATACTGGGAAAAACACGATAGCTGAGTCCGGTATAGATATGACCGTTCAAGGGCAAAGAAAAGATATTAATACCATTTTTCTGAAACTGCGGATAGCTGACTCCACAGGTTCCTGGTTTTTCTTCCCATATCGTGTATAATGTTTGCTTCTTTGAAAAGCCCAGGACTAAGTTTCTTGTCTCAGGTCAGCTGCGGAACATTCATTTCCCATTTGATACCGAGGCGGATACACCAACTGCTGTTGCTACTGAGATGGTGGAGGAGCTTGACCTGACAGATCAAGATGTTTCAACCATTGCTGAGATGACCGAATCAGAAGTACGATCACATATTCCGGACTGGGCACCGATAGGATCCAACGAAGAAAACCCTGATGGAACTGTCGCAAACTCAGATGATTGTGAGAGACGGGTAGATGATTCTCCTGCTCTGAATGATAAATCCACCTTGAGTGCAGAGACTAATTCACCTCGTACCTTTTCAATGGAAACGCTTCCATCCGGTAGAAAGTACTGGTCATTGGGGAAAGCTGAAGAGGAGAACCCTCCAACCAACCAACGAATCTTAGAGTCACCATCCGATGTTGACATCATCTGGGACACAAAAACCCTAACAGAAAATGATCGGAACAGCCATGATGCTTCAGATGAATGCAAGGAAAAGGACAGTGATGGAGATGAAAACCGGGAAATGCGAACTGGGATGGAGATAGAGATCAAGAACTTAGCAAGTAAACTCGAGAAATTATTGGCAAAGCACGAGGAGGAGTTGAATGAGTTAACAAGGACGCATGAACTTGCTGTTTCAGCACTTCTTCAGGAGCTCCCAGCAGACACCCTTCAGAAGGTTTTGTCTGTTTGCAAGTCCAAAGTTGCTGATCTTAAACTCTCGGACATGACCGATCCGTAACGTTTATTACAAGACACAAGTAGCAGAGTTCCTCTTACAAGGGTTTGAGAGAATTTTAGCAACAAAGGCCATGATTTCTATTTGTTCGTTGTTTTCTGGATTTGACTTGATTCTTTGTCACGGAATACTAGAGTTCTTCTAATACTCTGTACAGAACAAAAGGGATAATCTTGAGTCACTGAGAAGCGAGAACATCAAATGGGTATATTATTAAAATTTAAAATAGAAGTTTTCAGATTCTGAGTTATTGAAATGAGAGAGAATGAGTTTGACAAGATGCCTAGACCCGGCATGCATGCATAATAAAAGTACAAACAAAATGCCCTTCCATAAATACAGCCACACCATAAATGGTCCAAACATTCTGCTTCAATCTTGAGTCTTACTGATTCAGCATTCCAGAAAATGGTGATGTCCTGAAATCTAGAGAATGGTTGAAAGAACCAGTTCCTGAGCAAAAGCTGCTATTCTCCGTTTCTCGTCAAGTTCTTGCTTCTGAGCTTGGTCTTGGAGTGGCTTGGGGCTGCGAAAGCGTCATGAAACGACATCAGATAACGATTCAGGTTTACCGAATCTGCATTGAACGTATATATATATATATATATCGGTGTACTCTAGCATAACTGAAGAAAGGACTTGTAACCAGACACGTCCTTTCTTCCGACGAGCGGAATTTTGCAGTGGAATAAGATGATGCATTTCTAGAACCTATAACGGGATAGAGGCTCGAGATGGTTATTCCTCCAGAAATGGGATTTTGGAACACCATGTATGGAATCTAATCACACACAAAAATGTTTTCTAGGATAAAAACCTCTTTTGCTGGTTATAAACGGAATTTCGATTCTAAATGAATACCTTAAATCAATATATATGCATGGGGCTTACCCTAAAGTTTGAATCTTTGGTAAATGCATCTTTTCTTGATAAGGCGAGGGAAAGCATTTTACCTTTTCGCATTAGAGAGGTTCAATATTTTCTTATCTGAGAGATTTTCTAACGGGACATCTGATGGGAGTTCAGCTAGGGTTCGACTGCTTCCAGGGTACCCGAGAAATGAACTCAATTCTTTTCCAAGCACCATCGAGCTGCTGTTCCCTGGTTTGAGCAGCTTTCTCCTCCGCTGCAAAATACGTACAGTGTTTGTTTAATAGAACTTCCCTTAATCCAAGCATATTTCGGCTCACTGATATACGTAAAATTGAAATTCACGTGCAAGATTGCAAACTCCGAAATTGTACCTTCATTGAAGTCTTGTGATGTACCATGAAATGCCTAGTTAAATTCCCGTCCAGATTTCCCGCGCAAAGAGGACAAACCTAAATAAGCGAAAAGCAAGATTACACCCACGTTGTTTAAATGCGCATTGACAAGCTTAAACAAGTTGAATTATCAAATTCGTCTACTATGACTTGCCGATCTAACCCATAATAAGTAGATTCGTAAAGATAAAGGACCATATCCTTGTAACATAACCACGTAACAATAGCAGATGTACCATATTTCTGTCATCAACAGAGTGTTCTTCTCGAAAGTGAATGCACAAAGAGCGAACTTCAATATCCATGAAGCAAAATGGACATTGAAATAAAGATCTCCCTTCCTCATCTCCCTCGGAATCATCAAAACTATTATCTGCAAGGGGCAATGAAGCAAAAAAACAATAAACCAATAACGAATAGTAACCACAAAAGATATACAAGAGATTTACTACGTAAAGATCAAATGACACTGACTACACGTGACGAAAAAGCCTCTCTACCCAATATTCAACAAATGAAATCTATGACCAAAACGCTGCAAGCTCTGCATGATTGTATCCCTTATGTTACCGATAATAGGGTTCTGAAAAGAAAACTAAACAGCATCGGCCAAACAAACCCTATGCCTGATTACCATCCAGCTTTGCATCACAAATTCCTATAAACTTTTCCTGCAGAATCACCAAAAACATTCAGCAGG